AAGTGTAACTTTTGGATGCAGTATATTTTAGAACAAATATTCAGAGCTAAATTCTTCAATTGAGTACGTCTGAGAGACAACTTCTTCAGTTGATCCATTTTATGTTATGTGTATTTTACCACAATTTAAAATGAAAATTTAAATACTAGGAATAAAAGGAGGGAGAATCCAAAATTATGTTCACAGTGCACTTCTGCTTGTGTAAAATAATCTATGGAAACACAAACAAAAAATCATATATATGTAAAAAATACACACACACACACACACACACAAACATTACCACCTGTCTCTGTGTGGTGACACTAAGGATGGGTTTATTTTTTAACCTATTTTTCTTCATTTTTTCACTTTCCTTTTAGGGTCTTTTGCAGGGGTAGGTACCAGGGATTGAACTCAGGGGCACTTGAACACTGAGCCACATCTCCAGCCCTGTTTTGTATTTTATTTAAAGACCAGGCGCCACTGCATTGCTTAGTGCCTCACTTTTGCTGAGGCTGGCTTTGAACTCGCAATCCTCCTGCCTCAGCCTCTGGGGCCACTGGGATTATAGGCGTGCACCACCACATCTGGCTTCCTTTTAGGGTCTTATATTTGTTTTTGTTTCTTTAGAAGGTATACACGTATTTAGCTTTAACAGCCCAGGACAGAACAGGTGCCCAGGAAATGTCAGCCTCTCCCAATGCCTTGAGGCTATGGTATGTCCACCAGGGTGTCCTGGGGCAGGGAAGGCAGCTGTAGAACAGATCAAAGTGAGGCCCCCCAGTCCTCTTCTCTGTAGTTTCTGAAATAGGGAACCTCAGAGTCCCAGGACTGGGAAGGGGAAGGGGAAGAAGTTCTAGCAGCTGAGGGGACCCACAGGAAAGGGGTGGGCCCGGCCCAGCTGCAGTTCACTGTGCGTCCCTGGTGAGTCACTCCCCACTCAGCAGTGGTGTCCTCCCTGCTCAGTGGGCATGGGAGGCTTGGGTCCCCTCAGCGTGGCACAGAGGTTTCCAGATGATGCTAGAGCCCAGCCTCTAAGGCAGAGATATGATCACACGCCAAAGGAAAAAGTCCGGACCTGCTCCCCACTTACCTACCGAGTGATGCCCACCAAATGTAGGGGAGGGGTCACTGCAGCATATGTGGCCCAGCCTCCTTCAGCCCTTGCTTTTCCTTTTAACTATCCCCAAAGGAACAGGATGTGGATCTCAACCAAATTTGGTCCAGAACTAGATTTCCCCTCTTAAAACAGCATCCAACCATGCCTTTGCAAAGGCCATAGAAGGGGTTGCAGGGGAGGAACCGCTTGGATACTTCTCAGAGCACTCTTGGCCTGGTACCTCCAACTCCAGCACTGAGCTGTGACATCCTTGAAGTTAAGAAAATCTTATTCATTTGATCAGATGTGGGGGTGGAGCTTCTCAGGGGTCCAGCTCTGACCATCCAGCAGAGAACCCTACTCAAAAAATATTTGTAGACTATAACTAAAATGAAAGAAAGGAGAAAATGGGTTCAGGCGGGCAGGTGGACCATGGGGTTAGTCACTGTCTTTTCATTGACTCTGTAAATATTTACTTAGCATGCACCCCATTCACCGGTGATACTGATGAGGATGCAAACAGATGTTCATGCAGTACAGTTCAGCTGCCCACTGGGAGCAGAGCCATCGGCTAGCTGGAGTTGGGGTGAGGCTAGACTTAGCCTTCTCTAGGCTTTCTTGTCCTTTTGACTCGGTACTAGGGCAACCTATATGAGATCTAAAGGCCTCTCAGCTGGGATGCCTGGTATTCTCAGCCTCCGTCTTGTCTCACTGACAGCCACAAACTTCCTGCAGAGCAATGATGCTCTTTATCGTGTGTGTGTGTGTGTGTGTGTGTGTGTGTGTGTGTGTGTGTAGCAGAAATCAAATTATCCCTTCCCTCCTACTGGGTTGGCTCACTCCCACAGAAGCCTGCATCTGAATGCTGTGCCCTAGCTAAAATCGAGCTATATAAAAATGCAATGTGCCCACACTACAAAATTGCAAATATAGGCCTAATGAGGAACAGGACTGGGTCTATACCCACACTAAATGTTCCTACCACTTTTGAACCACCATATCTGCTTTTTATCATTTTTCTGTTTCCTTCTTTGCTACCAGATACCAGTGATGTGTGAGACTGCCCCCAACAGCTCAGGGCCACCAATATTCATCCATCACCAAGTATATACCAGGTTTTGACCTCTACTAATTTATTGTTCAAAGACCCCCATGACTAAGACCCCATGTTCAAACTGTGAGTAAAATTAGAGATCACAGGCCCTGACTGCAAGCCATGGGCATCTCTTATGAGTAAATTGTATGAGCTTTAATGAATGTTCTTAGTGACATCATCTTCAACTCCTTAGAAAGCACTTATTATATGAGCTAATGCCAGAAACAGGGCTGGCTTTCACCTGTGATCTGGATCGACGACATCGCCAGACAACTGAATTACTGTAGGATCAAAAGTGATCCGTCTCCTTCAGGGGTTTCTTTCACTATTTCTTTTTTCTTTTTCCTCTTTTTCCCTTTTGCAGAACAACGGGTTGAATCTGGGGCCTCATGCATGCCAGGAAAGCATTCTATCACTGAGCTACATCCCCAGTCTTTTTTATTTTGTGTTTTGAGACAGGGTCTCACTAAGTTGTGGAGACTGGTCTTGAACTGGAGCTCCTCCTCCCTCAGCCTCCTGAATCACTGGGATTATAGGTGGGCACCATTGCACCTGGCTCTCCTTCCACTATTTAAAGACTAGTCATTTTCACTGTGCTGCCAGGCTGCAGGGTTTAGTGGCAGAACCTTGGGCTTGGGTGAGGGAAAGCTGGGAAGAGAGTCCAAGGGGGTTGGGCTCTGTCCCTCACATGTCCATTGTAAAAAAAGACTCTTGTCTTTTCTGTAAGTTGAGCTTCAAAAAACTGTTGTATTCATGCTCAGCTGAAATGTGACCCCTGTGGGAGGTAAGAGAAATTTTCTCGATATGGACCCTGAGACCCAGAGATCCAGTGATATGCCAGGTGGACAGAGGAATAGCCAAACACCCCGGAAGATGCAGGCATTGCAACCTGCCTGCTGGGGTTTGATCCTCACTGTGTGGTGTGAGGCAAATCCTGAAGTCCCTATGCCTCAATTTCCTCATCTGAATAACAGGGAAAACAACAGCCTCTACTTTATTGGTTGTTGTAGGGATTGAGTGGATAGACACACAACTCTGAGAATAGCGTCTGGCACATTTTTAGTGCTAGTAAGCGTTAGTCGTTTTTGTGCTGGGTGAGACGAGCCCTGGAGCGAAGCATGAGAATCTACCTGGGAGCAGGTGATGCTGACAGTGACGAGGCCTCTGCTCTGGCTTAGTGTGAAGGTTCCACTGGACACTTCTCTCCCTCTCCCTGCTCTGACCTTCTTCATCCCAGGCCCAGAGAGCAGCCACAGAGGAGGGGAGGCACCTGGAGACCAGGACACCTGCAGCAGCCCAGAAGTGGGACAGTGCAGGGAATGGGGTAGGGGGTGCCACTCAAGGAAGCCACCACACCCTGCTCCTTACATACCATCCCCTCTGCCCAGACCCTGCCATGGGGGCTGCTCCTTGCCCCAGCTCTTTAGGGAAGGTGGGCCCAGGGCTTGGGATGGGGACAGAGGTCCTTGGTGGTAAAACCATCAGGGTCTCCTGACCTGCCTGGGCTACAAAGCAGCCTAGATTTCCAGGTCCGACCTCTTTCCCAACTTTGCACTCCAAATCAGAGCAGTGATGTGGTGACTCACCCCCAGACCACCTTCTGGGGCTGTGGTTGCCAGCCTGGGCCACAAGCACCCTGGTGATCTGCCTGGGTCAAGCCACATCGGCCTCCATCAGCTCTGGGCTGGTCCTAGACCCTCTTTCGTGAAAGGGAAGAACGGAGGCCCCGCAAGACACAGGGTGCCCTCCCCAGGCAAGGCCATCTGCTCTCTGTGCAGGGAAGCAGGCCACTCACATGCTGGCCCAGAAGGGAGGGAAGGCCTGGCTCATTAGCTCTCATCCTCCTGGCTGCAGCCCCAGGAAAGGGCCCAGGGAGGGCCAGACTGTGGCTGGGGCTGAGCAAAGGGCCAAAGAGTCCACTGTGGGGCTGGAGGGAGTGTCCTCAGGACAGCCACATTCACCAGCTCTAACCAGAGAGATCTCAACTTGTTCCCAAAAGCCACTGGGGACAGCCAGAACTTAAGGACCAAAGGAAGGACTGAAGGACAAGTGGAAAAACCAGGGGGGAGTCAGAGTTCAAGCTGGGCTTGCGGCCACGTGGCCTGGGCCAAGGCACTTGACCTCCACCACTGGCCAGGTGCCCTTATTTCATGGGCAAAAGGATTAGATTTATGGCTGTGCTGAATTTAAGCACGCAGCAAGGAACTGCCCGGCCCGGCTGCCTCCTCAAGACCCCTGAGGTCTTCAGGGGTGAGGCGCTGAGTGAGGGAAGGTATCCCCACAAGGTGCTGGGAGCTTTAGGGCATTCGATCACCTTCAGCTGGTGTGTTTATTTGTATTTATCTCCATTATACAGACGGAGAAACAGAGGAGCAGAGAAAGAAAATGACTCACCCAGCCTGTAAGTAACAAAGCTAAGACGGGGACCCGAGTTTGTCTGGTTCCCAAATCTCTGACCTCTTCTTTGCCCCACCAGGGTAGCCTCCTCAAGTCCCCACCCATGTTACTCTCTTAGGAAGCTCCTGCTGTGGGGTGAGGGCTCTCCCAGGAAGGAATCAGCCCTGTGGGGCCAGAGGAGATGCCCTGTCCACAGGGGTGACATTTGCAGCGAAATCAATAACCCACCCCTAAAAACCCCCTTGGCCTTCCAACTCAGAAGGAATGTCAGTGGCCCAGGCCATCTCCACAACAATTAAGACCAAAACCACCCCCTGTTTTCAAGAGAAAACTTCCCGGTTGGAACCACGGCGGCATCAACTGCCTGGGGACAATTCAGACCGGCTGAACCCATTCCACTTGCTTGAGGTCTGTTCCCTCACTCACCCAAAAGGCATCTCGAAACTGCAGCTGGGGCATCATCCTCCAGGCGTCTGCTGCTGTGAAGCCTGTGCTGCTGTGAAGCCTGTGCTCCTGCCTCAGGCAGGGTTGACTGTGGGCCAGGAGCCAGGAGCACCGTCCCAGTCCCGGCAGAGCTGGCCCAGGCCCTCCCTCCCTGACCGGCGCCGTCTGCAGCACTGAGAAGGCAGCCACAAGCCAGAGACAACTGCAGAAGGCAGAAAAGGGGCTCAACCTGTTTTGTTTGGGGTTAGAATCGGCAGCAAAATGAGGAAGAAGCCGTGCCCAGTGATGGATAGGCGGGCTGCGGTGTCCAGCCCAGCCCCCAGCCAGCCCCAGTAGTGGAGGACACAGGCTGGGACCCAGGGCAGGGAGCCGGGATGCCGGCCCTGGTGAGCGGTGGGTGGCAGGGATGAGGGGGAGAGGCGGGCTGTGCACAGGCCAGGCGGGGAGGCAGTCTGAGGCCTGTGCAGGAAGGTTTGTGCAACCTTCCCCCAGGGCAGGCACCAGGGCCCTAGCCCACAGGAAGTGGAGCTGCTCTGCTCCCTGTGCAGCCCCGCCTGCCACCTGCCATCCTGCTGCCTGCCTCTGCTTGCCCCTTCTCAGCCCTGGACCAGTTTATTCTCTGAGCCATAAACTTAGGGAGCCCAAGACTGTGTGGGCAAAGGAGGGGTCCAGGAACTCCTGGGGCTGTCCCCAGCTCAGATGCTCTCCAAGCCAGGGTCAAAGAAGCTAGATTCTCTGGCGTCCCAGGACACAGCAACCATTCACCCAACCCTGCATGCCTGACTTCCAAGAGCTCAGTCTAGGGTAGACACCGCTGTGCTCTGGGGGGCTGTGGAAGCACAGAGGTAGGATGGGGAGGAAGCCCAGGGAGAACAGCCTGAGGCCCCATGGGCACTGCCCCTTCCCACCACAAATCTCCAGATTAGATACTCTCCAGGCAGGGAAGGCCCCTCTGAAAATGGAGTCTTTAGGCTCAATAAATGTGACTGGATGGAGAGAGAGACAGGATTATAAGGGCACAGAGATGGGAGTTTGGAAACCCAAGTAGGGGCCCAGTTTGTTTTTTTTTTGTTTTTTTGCTTTTTTGAGGGGGTCCCTACTCTTCAATGACTGAGGGGCTCCAATTGACCCTCTAATGCTCTGAGACTCAGTCTCCCCCACCTGTTACCTCTAGTCATTGCAAAAGAGACAGTGGTAAGAACACTTCTGGAAGTTCCAGTTTGGTGGGACAGGTGCTGGGGGCCCTGCTCTGAGGAGCCAGGCCTGCCCACTCAGCACAAGATGCTGGCAAGGCGTCCTGAGCCTAGGGTGGGCTGGTGAAAAGGATGAGTCAGGGACTGTCCACAAATCACCACCCTCACCAGTGTCTGCCTTGCAATTGACTGGGGTGGTAAGATAGATGAGAGCTGCTGCAGGAGAAATAGCTAAGCTCTCAAGTGCCAGTTACACAGGCCAGGGTTTAGATGGGGGCACACCCACGCTTCTAGAATAGCCACCCAAGAGGGAACACATCAGGGAGAATTACAGAGCAGTGGGACTGCCCCTGGAAGGCCCTAACCTCCAGCCTCCTTGAACTTGAGCTAATAATAAACCTCTTTAGCACTATGGCAACCTGTCCGGTTTTCTGTTACTTGCAGCTGCTAATCCAGTGGTGTAAAGTCACCTTGAATCCCGAAAGCCATATGCTGAGGCTGCACCTCTCCTCTGTCAGATGGCGTGATGCCCCTAGTTCTGGAGACAGACTAGAAACCCTCGGTCACTAGAAGGCTCCCTTTCATTGGCAGAAATCTTCACAGCTGGTTCCCTTCCCTGCCTCCCCAGGTGTTCTTTCCATCACCTCCCACAAACATCTGCTGCAAACAGGCCTCTTCCCTTTACACAGAGGCACCCTTCACACTCCTACCTCCACACTTTTGCTTTTCTCTGACCAGAATCCTCTCTGGCATGCCTTCCTAGATCTTCCTCCCCTGGGCAAATCTCTCCATCCCTCAAGGTCACTCTCAAGGCTCCCAACCACAAGGCCTTCGTTTCCCAATTGCATTGGTCCAGTCAAGGCACTGGTCTAGGTGGCCATGCTAATTGTGGGCTGGAGCAATTGGGGAGGGAAATAATGGAAGGAACATTTGAAGTTCTCTGCTAGAAAAAGGGCTTCTCTATCTGCCAGCCCCCACCACTTTTTCAGCTCCTAGGACTGGGTAAACCCAACAGCCAATTTGGTTTGGGAGCATTAACTAAGTGCCAGGTGCACTGGTAAGCTTCTTTCATGCCCATCTTACTTAATCCTCACCCAGCCTGTGCCCATCCTTTACAGATGAAAAAAACCAGTGATTAGTTCACGCAACTCACATGAGGTCTCACAGCCAGTAAGCAGAGGGCTGGTGTGGTTCCAGATCTGTGTGATGCCAAAGCACATGCTCTTAGTCTCCACAGCTGTTTTCTACCAACAGTCCTCTATTAAAAAGGGGTTCCTCCTTATTCAAAGACAATGCCATTGAGAATTTCCATCTCAGAGCATTAAGTTCTGAGTGCAGCCCCCTGCTTTCTACGGTTCTCCCTTCAGAACCCCAATCATGGATGGAAAACAGCCCACAGAGGCTGTTGGAGCTGACAGTGCTGCTGGGTTGAGAATCCAGCATTGGCATGTGCTCTGCTGTGTTCACTGGGCCATGTGCCTCAGCTGGGGATGCTCTAGGTTGCAAGGAACAAGCATCAGAAGGTCTAAGAGGAAGGAAGTGTATTTCACCCACACGAGGGGTCAGGAGCAGGGTGTTTTCCAGGTGTGGCAATTAGGGCCTCAGTTCTGTTTCTCTGGAGTTTCTCTTCCACTGGTGATCTTCCTTCTTGGGAGCCAAGGAGCGGCAGCGGCTCTAGTCTATGACTCAAAGAAAGAAAAGGAACACCAGTCCTGGTGTGTCATTTTCTCCTAAGTCCTGCCCCAACCCCCAGCCCTCTGGGAAACCTCCCCTGGTGTCTCATTGACCAGAAGTGGTCACATGCTCACACTTCACCAAAAGGCCATGGGAACAGGATCCCTTGGCAGGGCTGTTAAGGATGATGGGAGCCAATCAGAGAGACCTCCACAACCTTCTTCTCAGCCCACCCCGCAAATGCTGCTGGAACTGGGGCCCAGGGGAGGCAGACTTGGTTTCTGCCTTGAGGGGCTGACATATAGGAAGAGAGGTTCTAAGAAGAGCCCTCTCCATGGGGCATGGCTTGGAGGGTGAAACCAGAAGAGGGTGATGTAATGATTCTGAGGGGGATGAGGCCTAGATGGGTCAATGGGGGCAAATAGGTGGGACATCAGAGAGGTGCAGAAATGAAGGAAGGGGACTGAGACATCTGAGAACCCCAAAAGAAAAGGAGCTATATGGTTCGAGGCCCCTCCCTCACCAGCCGCCCCACCCCAGGCCCAGCCCTCAGGGAGGAGAATGAGTCCTGAAAAATCACAACTTTTTAGCAACCATGCCTACTGCTTCAAAACACAATTTGTCTTGAGGTCCCGGCAGCTGAGCCCCAGGCCAAGCTGTGGGGGAGAACCTCACCCAGGCTGAGCCCCATCCTGTTTTGCATAATATTTGAACACATCTGTTTGAAGAATTCAAGAAGTAGCAGGTCCAAGGATTGAGAATCAATTGCAAAATCAGTCGTTTGAGGATTGATTGCCACAGCCACGCACCTGGATCCACTCCAGCCATCCTTTGGAGCCATCATAAGTGACAAAAACAAAGGTACTAGCCACGAATGAGGGAATGTTCATATCTGGGGTGTTTCTTTAATTAGCTCTTTCATGCTGCACTCCCTTGAGCATGGGAATATTTGTGGAACAAACCCCACCCCGGTCTCTACCTCTTGATTTGATGGCACATTAAACCCACCAACTGCTGGGTTTCTCTGCCAGCCACAAGATTGATGGGGAAGTTGAGCCAGGCATCTCCATGTTCCAAGGATCTTCCTCCCCAGTTCACAGGGGATGGCAATCCCCAAGAGTGTTGCAGCTGCCAGGTCAGGATGCACCAAGTACCCGGGTCAGAGTAGAGCCGTGGGACTGCCATGCCCTATCCTGAGGTGCTCTGGACCCTGAATCTCCCGACACCTGCCCTCAGGCCCCTGCTGCAGGCAGAAGATAGTGGTGGTTGCTAGGCAGGAGTGGAGAGGGAAAGGCTGAAGACCCGTCCAGGGGAGGTGAACCAAGCCCTTGAAGCACACTTCATGGTCTGACCAGACTGCATTTAAAAAACACAAATTCAAAGATAATGCCATTGAGAATTTCCACCTCAGAGCATTAAGGTCTGAGTACAGCACCCTGCTGAGCAACAGGACCCTGTGTGACTGCACCTGATGCACATCTATGAAGCCAGCCCGGCTTACTGTCTGCTTTCCACATTGCAGAATGATGTTTTCAGACCCAAATATGGTCATGTCACCTTCTTCCTGACACCTTGCTTTGATTTCTCATTGTTCTCATTAGTCACTGTTTTTGCATAGCCTAAAGACTCTGCATGACCTAGCCTCAGCCTATTCTTCAAAATTTCAACTCATAATACTCCTCCCTCAGCTTCTGGTACTGCTCCTTGGGCCTTCTTTCAGTTCTCTCTCTTGCCTTATTCTCTTCTACTCCAGGTCCTTGGCACATGCTCTCTCCTCTGCCTAAAAGATTCTTCCTGTCCCATCCCAGTCCCTGCCTTGGCCCAGCTAATTACTCCTCATCCCTCCACTCTCTTATCAAGTGTCACCTCTTCAGGAAAACGTTCCCTGACCATCAGATGGATGGACCGATGGATAAACTTCAAACAAGATTGAAAGCAAATAGACACCACTGGGGGGGAAGTTTGCCAAGTTCTCAAAGGCTGGAAGAGAAAATGTTTTCAGAGGAACAGCCCTCAGAGGTAGGCCAGGCTGGAGGACAGGGCTGGGGGACTGGAATCCTCACTTAAAATCCAGGAAGAATCAGAAGCAAGAGCGTGGAGACTTCTGAAGAGAGGGACTGGAGAGAAAGGGTCTGAAAGCTCCTAGGTGACATCCAAGGAGCCAGGAGACCTTTTCCATGAATTTCACTTTATAATGGCACTGCCACTTATCCAAGGGACATTTGTTTTGTCCCTTTTGTTGTTTACGTGCTGTCTTACTAATATCTGCCTCTCTCTGGGAATGCCAGGTGACACAGGCTTCTCCTTCTGGAAGGAAATCTCTCTCTGGAGGAGTAACATCTGCTGTGCCAACAGACTGTAGCCAGAAGGACATTGCTCAGTTGGCACTCAGATTTCGGCTGAGTACACTACCATGATGCTACCCGGGGTTCTCGGGTTGCCCACCCACCCCAGGGCTGATCTGGGATGTTTCAGTACCTGGCCTTGGTGGCCCACTGTTCCTGGGAGAAAGGCCTATGTGTTCCCACATGGTGACCAGAGGCACACCCTCTGTGTTGGGGCACCCGCTGTGAACCCCAGTTGCTCTGATGCAGAGTGGAACAAGCCCACTGCAGGGCCCCCACCAGT